GTTATTTGCTTTTGCTGTTCACACAATAATTCGGCTCAGTGCTGGTTTTATGCATATGAATTCGTAGTGACAATGTATCTGACAACAAAAATTCGTTCATCCAAAAAAGTGTTGCCAAAAAGACTGTTCGGTACTTCAGATGGTTGGTTGTTTGGTTCGTTGGTTGGTTGGTTCGTTGGTTGGTTGGCAGGCACAAAGTTCGTTTGGACACAAAAAAAAACGCATAATAAAATTCAATGACGAATTGTGGGAAAACAAATTAAAAGCTTTTGGGATAAATTTCACTTCTCTTCTCTCAGATAGTTTTCCTTTCTGCTGCCAACAGTTTTTTGCTCTGCTATTTCGCAAGGATTTATTTGCAATATTAAAGTAGTGCAAAAGAAAGTAGAAGAAAGCAAGTCTTCTGCATTTTTGGTTGAAAATTCTTGTTATGCCTTTTAATAAATTAAATTTACTAATTTAATTTGTGCCGAGCATTTTAAGATAAACTTTTGCTGACAACTTGAGTAGTTTCAGAAATTTGTACGAAAATGTTAACAAATTGTGGCATTAGTTGTGGAGAAGAGAAATTGCTTTAAGAATATTGAATTAAGCTTAGCGGAGGTATTCCAACTTAGATTTAAATTTTTTGTTGAGTTTGAGGCAAAGTTTCAAATTCAAATTTCACTTTAAAAAATTTTGTTTTATATGAAAATGATTGGAATTTATTTAGCAACTAAACAGATATTAAGGATAAATAACATATTACGGTATTGTGAATACAGAAATGGATTCGCAAGCACATACCTATTTGTGGTTGACGCTTTTTTAGAATAAACATTCAGAAGTTTTATAGATTCGAAAAAAGAATGTAAGCTCGTTTACTAAAATAATGAGCCTAGGTTAGGTCTAGTTAAAAATCGAGTCCTTAACAGACTTTGACGAGCTTCACGTGCATTGCCGATGGATCCATTGTGTTGCCCTAGAGCTTTTGTTATTAGGTGTTCCACTCCTATTGATATAGTAAATCTACGTACAGAGGATTTACCTAATACACGTATTCTTACATCAAAACCACGTTCAACAATTTAACTAAATCATTTTGTTTGATTATTTTCCAAAGTAAACAGCCTGACAGAGATAACAAAAGTAGACTTGTTGAATCTCCTCAACTGTATCTGTAAAATCAAATATTTTAACAAGTACAATATCCGAAAATGATAACACTTAAGATAACTAACCTTTCCCAGGCAACTTTATGAGTATCACAATCGATAATAGATGTGTCTGAGTAGAAGTTATGTTAGTTGTACAGTACGTAACCTAACTCCAACCTCAAACTAACTTTAATATATACATTATTTTGCATAAGCAAACTGTCAATAAAACCGCAATGACAAGAGACTACATATTCGTCATAACAGCATATTGTCGATTTGTTCTTAAAATAACATAGGAATATGAAAATTTTATACGAATTGAGTTACAAAAATTGACAATAATAACGAAAAAAACTCCTTCACATCACTCGACGTATGCAAACAGTCAGTGCTCAATTCAGTTCATGAATATCAAAGAGTATTAATAGCACGTTAGCAACAGTGACAAAGCAATAGTAGAAAGTGCATGAAATAGATGAAGGAATAAAGGAAAGTGCAATTTGGTTTGTGATTTATTTAAGAAGTTCTATCATAAAACATATTAGCGTCGCAGTAAAGTAAGTACAATAATCTGTAATATATAACAAAAATATTGTTCATATTGACATTGCCATTTTTTAAGATATAATTATTCTTCCTATCACTTTCTATTTTTATATTCTAGTCGTACTTTGCATATTAATTTTCTATACAAAAATAAATCAAAATGAAGTCCGTAACAGGACGAGGTGTAAAATGTCCTCGTTACAGTTTAGTTCAAAATTCAAAAGGATATAAAAATAAATTAAATGAATGTTGCTCAATTTTTATTCAAACATTTGTACTTCCATAGATGAAAACTGTTATTTAATCCTTTTGTTAGTTATTCAATTGTTGTCAAGAGGTAAAAAATAAAGTAAAATAGAGTTTCTACTTTTATATAAATTTTATTTACATACTTGTAGATACGTATTTTCTGTTACTGATATACTGCTTTGTATTTGAATTTCGTAGCATGCATTTACTTCTCATCTCTGTTAAAAAAGTTTAACATTACATTCCTTAAGCACTGAGCACTTTAACTAAAATGTCCTTGTTAACACGAAACATCAAGTATCTAACCTCTGTAAACATATCGAATATTCAAAATAACTTCGAAAGTGCATAATTCACTTTTTTAGTTTATTATAAAATATATTTTAATCAAAATAAAATAGTTTAAAGTTTTTAATATGTGCTCAAAATATTCAAAAATCTTCGTAAATTAAAAATTAATAAAAATTTTTACATTGTTTTGGAAACAGCTTATGAAAATAATATGTGTATTTATATATATTGAAGTATATTGTATATACTTCGAAGTATATGCAAACAATTTACATCCAATTAAAAGTTGTTCTTGCTCAAAAAATATCTCAAAAAATAATAGCATCATAAAAATTTTTATTTCGTAGTAAAATTTAAAACTGAATCTAAATAAAATATAAAAAATGGAATCCCAGGGGATATATTTTAAAAAAATGTTTTTTTTTTTGAAATTCAATAGTTAATATTAGTACTTCAAAAATTTAAAAAATTTTAATTGTTTAAACAATTTTGTAAAAGTTCAATCAATTATCTTTGAAACGCGCTAAATTTCAAGTTTCTACCTTTTATAGAACTTGAGATATAGCCATTTGAAAATGTGTCTACTATGCCAATTCTCAAAACCCCGTGGGTCCATATCTCCTAGGAAAAAAATCAAAAAATTTTTTCCCGAGATACGTGTCTTCTTATTTTATAAAAGGAGCTCATAAAAAAAATTTCAGCCAAATCGGAGAACATGAGGTCATTTTTTGCCAAAATCCGTCCGGTTTGTAAAAGAATGACCTATATACTTATTATATTATTATTATTATAAAAATGATTAACTTATTATTATTACTATAATAAACTTTATTATTATTATTAAACTTATCATTATCAATCGCCTATAGCAGGGTTGTCCAAAGTACGGCTCGCGGCTAATGTTTATGCGGCCCGCGATATGTTTTTAATCTACTACCATTACGTCAATTTTCTTTTTGTGTACTCGTAAAACAACATTACTTTATTATTATGGTATACTAAACAAATTAATTTAAATTGATAAATTAATAAAACTAAATTTAACATTACATCCGTATGTTTATTATTGCCGAAAACAACTATTACCGTATGTATTTGTTTCTGCGGCCCCCAATCTATGTAGTGATTTGTATTGGCCCGCGATCTGATTTGAACAGCCCTGGCCTATAACATTAAATATGAGATATGTTTTTCAAATAATCAAAGAGTCAATTTAAAAACCATTTTTACAAGATATTTTAAAAATAATTCACTACTTCAGTTAGCATTTCCTCAAAGTTTTCACCTTTATGTAAAGATAAATAATGTTTGTTATGATGGAAAATTGTTCAACATAACATTTCATTTGAGTCATTAATATCAAAGATGTTATCTTCAATGAGCCCTGTTCAACATTCTTAAAACGAATTTCTTACATTTATTATTTTTTTATATACTTAATTTTAGTACCTCAAACTAATATAACAAAATATTTTAATACTTTTTCATTAAGATACCAGTATTATTTTGAAATATATAAAAATAATTTCATAATATCTTTGAAGTTCCAACCAAAATTATGTAAAGTTCTAAAGTGTCAACCGCCCACTTGGCTCAACAAACCATAAATGTTCAACATCGTCAAAACTGTTGAAAGTATCTTTTTCTCCTAGTATCAACTTTTAACAGCAAAAAGATAAAATCTTTTATCTTTTTACTTTAATTTTTAGCCAAAATTTCATTAATTTTCCACATGCACTCTCACAAAGTGCTTGAAAATATTTCTAGAATTTGATCTCAGAACACAATTACATTTATGACATTTAAACCACACTTTCCTTCGCCATGCTCCCGAAACTAACAATTTCCTAAACGAAGTAAAAGTAATCAGAGAAACTTGCGGTGACTCTGCAAAGTGATACCAAGTCGGATACTTTGCTACTTCGCCGGAATGTTACTTAAAATAATAATATTTCAGTGGTTTCCATTTCCTTAGTGACCCAAAAGTAGTAACAAGAAAAAGGAATATTAGATTTTCGGAAGATGTGTACTTTCATCGGGTGTAGTTTGGAAATTTAATGCCAAAAGAATGAGAAACGAAAAAAAAGAAAATTTCGCCTAAAATTTTTAGCACCCATGGAGACACAAATACAACGTATTTATGTATGTATATAATGGAAAATAATAATCAAGTTATGTTGCATTTTGCTGCAAGGACGCGATATTAATTTCGGCACCCAGGCAAATGGCACCAAACTTCGCAAATTGGTTTTTTCGCTTGCTTTGCTTGCTTTGTGTCGAAATGCAATTCTGTTTGTTCGTTAAAGGATGAAGGAGTGGAATCTGAACCAGTGAAATCTGTTGCCTTGAATTGCGAATGACCAAAATTCACGAAAATTTACTTAGTTCAGGGTATGGAATTTCACATGTGCTCATAAATTTAATTGCTTGATTAAGACCAGATTTGAAAACATGTGCAGAAAAGATACATACCATAAGTTTTGATGTAATTCAACAAAAGGAATATCATAAAATGTATGTTATATATACATATCGTTATACATATCGTTGTTAAGAAGGTTGTATGAGCTCGGACTCTACATTCGTTTAAATAACTGAAAAAATTTTATATAAAGCGGAAAGATATTTATAGTGTTGTGATGAATTGACTTTAAGTTAACATGACTAACTAATTAAGTATTAATTAATTATCTATAGCACACTAAATGCTATATATTTTTTCATGGACTTAAATTTTAAATTACTTATCTTATTTAAAATTTATTTATATTTCAGGTCGTCCGGAACCAGTGGTTACCTGGCTCAACGGCACACAGCTTTTGGAGTCGGGTAGTGGTGTTTCTATGGGAAGACATGTAACAGTCAATCGTCTGGAGGTACCCAATATAACACGATCAGCATTAAATAATACATATCGTTGTCAAGCTTCCAATACAAAATTGGTACCACCAGTGGAACGCAATATACGCATCGAAATGCTACGTAAGTGATCAATCAGAGTAGATAATTTAAGTAAATGCAATATGGGGTTTCATGGGTAGAATTACCTAACACTATTTCCTGTTTCAAATTTATAACATAATTAGCGAGATAACAGTTGCCTAAGTACCTTGATATTATAACAAATTTCGGTTAAATCGTTTACAATGCTCTATGCCGAAATAGTTTAGTTCTCCGAATATCGAACTCAAAATTTGCAAATGTTTACATTGATTCATAAAAATATATTATAGAATATATTATATTATATACGATTTAAAGATGCTAAGTCCAAATCCAAAAATGCAAAAAAAATACACTATGTTAGAAAGTATTATAAAATAAATGTTTATTATTAAATAAATGTTTATATATACGGGAAATGATGGATTTAAAATAGAATTCAAATATATTAAAATCCAAAAAATATATTTAGTTTTTTGAGTCTCATAAAATTAAAACGAAATGGACTTTTTCACTCAAATTTGACGAAATAAAATGTTTAATATTCCTTTTGAGCCAATTTTTCAATACAGAAATTTTCTGCAGAACACCTATAATTATAAAATTAAAATTAGTATTTAGTATTTAAGAAATGGTGACATTAAGCTAAGACAATTTTCAATATTTTAAGAATATATCCCCAATCCGTAAATAATTAAATTTTACATTACTTACGAGTTATATATGAATTGTCACAACTTTATAGCTTTGTGAAGCCAAAATGGAATTATCATCATATCATTATATGCTCTTACTGAGTGAAATGTACTGACTTCTCAAAGAATTTTGAACTTTAAAAAATTGATCCTAATACCACAAGTGCTAGTTATGAACAAAAAAGTCACTGCTTAAGTATAAAGTTGAATGCAGTAATAGAAAAAAAAATTTATGAAATTTAAAAAATTAGATAAACATGAAATTTGTTCTAACTTTTCAGTTAAGCCAACGTCAGTCAATTTGACCAACAAACAAAAAGTTTTTTCATCCGGAACACTTTATAATCTCACATGTATTGTAACCGGTTCAGTGCCAGATACAGAAATTCGATGGACACAAAATAATAGACCATTTAAACGAGGAACTGTAAGTAGAGCAAAATTATATTTTTTTTTAAAAATTTAACACTTAAGTATGTGTAAGGTCGATATTCTAAAAAATGCATTTACATATACTTTAAGCTTTCAACCTCACACAATGGCAACCGAGTGCAATCAACGTTATCCTTTAAACCACAACCTGAAGATGATGGCACCATGCTTAGATGTGAAGGTTCAAATCCTAGATTACAAAACTCTGCATTACAGGACGCTGTAATGCTCAACGTAATGTGTAAGTACATAAAATTTTCAATATATACAGTTAAGGAACTTAAAAATATTTCATATATATTTAATAAACACAAAATACTGTGCCACGAAAACAAAATTCTTCTCAAAAGTTTGCCAATAATTTTGAATCACTCATAAAATTGCACAAAAACGTAAAGGAAATGTATTTTAAAATTTGCTTTACCTGCTGACATAATAATGCCGCAATAAATTTCGTGTTTCGATTATCTTTGAAAAAAAAGTATCTACGCTTATTTATTTGTAAATAAAAATTTCGACAAAAATACGAAAACACAATTTTGAAGCCACAATAAAAGCAACAACAATGAATATTACAACTGCAGTAAAAAAAGTTATGCATGTCATATTCAATAAAGTTGTCAGCAGTGCTTATTTCGGCACAATCATAAATTTATTGAAATGCAAACTTTAACATAAACTCGTCCTCTTCAATTTCTACTGAACGTATTTCACACCCCAACGCCATCCTTCTCTTATATTGAAAAATTTACGAGTAAAACCTTAAATGCGTAAAATTATAGCGTACATGAGTTATTATGTTTGTACTTTCAACTTCTTGAAAAATGAAAACGATGTCTGTTTATTTGTCAAAACCGCAAAATGTGAATAGAGTTGCTATATGATACTCAATTTCATTTTATTTTATTTTAATTTATTTTATTTTATTTAGTTTTAATTTAATTTATTTTGTATAGTTTTTTTTTTTTGTTTTATTTTACCTAAAAATTTTTTAAAGAGGTTTTTCGTACTGTAATGAACTACAGCAACAAAAATTTATTTTTATATTATTTTAATTAATTGAATTTTTGGCTGACCTTGCAGCTGTTTCGAGTATTACCAAATACCCATCATCAGTGGTCTTAGAAATAATTATTGTATTTAATTATTCAAAAAGAATTTTTTGAGACTACAAGTATCAGGAATTGAACTCGTGTCCTGCAAAATTTGAAGCTCAGAGTCAGCGCACCTTAACCAACTGACCCAAAGCCGTACTTGACTTTTTATGTTCGCAAATTTCTCTGGAGTTTTGTTACTTTGTTGTGAAAATTTTATTAAGGAATTTACTTGTAGTGTTTATATTAGAACGAAATCATAAATCTGCTGTAGAATAATTGAATTAATCCTAAAATTGAATTAATTTTGTCTTAACATATCCTGGTGAGCTATCTCAAAAGACTTTCTAATGAGCGTTATGATCTGTACAAAACAGGATAGTCTCAGGTGACAGAAAATCGACTCTACTTGAGAGCAAAAAAGCCGATTTTATTATAAACATTTAGCTTAGATATGAGATAATAGCTGAAGTTGCTGACAGGCTACCGAATAAAAAATTTTAATAGCATTTAGAATTAGTAAGGCTACATGACTCTCATACATTATGGTGATTGTTGCTCTATTTGTGTTTTTCTTTAGACATTCTCAATTGGAGTATTTATGGCAAATAGTTATCCTTAATATAACAGTACGATTTTACATTTTCTTTTTGGAAAGAAGGTTCTAGTATAAAGATATACGAATACAAAAGATATCTCATGAATTTAACTAATATCATAAATTTATGATAAGATTCTCATGTATCTATGTTATGTAAAAAATATGAACTTTTCATTTGCAGCGGCAGTTACTTCTAACACAATTCACCTACCTAAGCCATATTTCCAAAAAATATTTTTATATAATAAATTATGTGCTTTATGCCGCAAATTTGAAATTTTCAACAAAACTGATAACAAACATAAATGCTTAAATTATCTATGAATTTTATTTATTTATTATTATTCAGTTTTTCTTTTGCCTGCCAACTTTTGCACTCTAATGCAACAGTGCTGAAAAGTGCTCATATATTATATGAAAACTTTATACTACACACGAAATTACATACGTACAGAGCACAATTTTGTTTATTTTTTATAATTGAGAGAAAAAATAATGCAAAACTTTTTAAATTTCATTCACTTATTCTTCATTCATATTATTATTGCTGTTGTTCTCCCCGAGGGCACAGTTTGAATAATTTCATGTGAGTTACATGGACGCGTTGCAGTTCCCTGGAAGGGCGGCGAAGTTAATGGCAACGAATTTCTGCTCTCACCCAAACACTACCCACACTTTCACCTACTCAAACAATAAGTTCTATCATTTTATTTGCCGAGCAGTGTTCTTCGGGAGAATATGCCAACCCTGTTGTAAAATATCAGGAAGTAGCTACAAATTTAAAAGACTTTGCGAAAACTTTTCGCAATATATTTTAACAATTTCTCAAATACTGACATAATCAGCAACACGCATTCATAAACATTCACAATTGCTCTGGAAAAGTGTTTTGCTACCAAACAAAAACTGAAAACTGAAAACTGAAAAGTTTTGCATACGTTTTTAAATTTATTATATATTTCATTTTTTCGCAATTTTGAAATATGTATCTGAATTTACTTTGTTGCTCGAAATTAATAATTCATCAAATATCATGCTTAGTTTGTTTGCGAACTTGTATTTTTAAGATATTTTTGGAAAAACTGTTAAAACTAAAATGAAATCGAAAATAAATAGCTTCTGGTTGGTAAGCGTCGTTCTAATTTTGGTATTGAAGTTTTATAAACTCATTTATTTCCTCAGTATTCTTTAATAAAAAATAAATGGCATATAACTTTTTTTATACACCAGTAAAGATTATTTGTCGCTCTCAGTTTTATTTTCATCCATTAAATGTTATTTTTTACAATAGAAGATCTCTATAGTGTTGTTCTGTTTGATTTTCATACCTATGATAAAATGATAAAATATATTTGATATTTGATTTTGACGTCAATTATGACATCCGTGCAAAAAAAAAACAATTTGTTGTTGCAATGCACTACTGTTCGATACCGCTTTATATATGAATACTCTTTTTTTTCTAAAAGTTATATTAAGAACAGTCGTATAGCCAGAAGAACGACAATATTGAGTTACTGAAGCCATTCTTGAGCTACTGAAGCCATCTCCATAATGAATCGGATGGGTGTATTATGTATTATGTGAAGATTAATTAATATAATTATCAATTTAAAAAATTAATAATAATCATAGATGAACTTCAAATGGCTTGTCAGATCAAAATAAAATTTCCATATATTTCCATATATTCCAACGATGACAAATATTGAAATTACGTTGAAGTTGTAGTTCAACTATATATGATCCTTTAAGCACTCCCTAAACAACCTTATAGTATGAGTAATGTGAACGTATGTGATTTATTACCTCAAAAGCGGAAACTTCCAAATCTTATCTAGTTTTTAACCCTGTTACCTTCAAACCATATTTTTGTACAAAAAAAAAAAACGAATACCTTAATAAATATTTGAGAATGCCAGGAACACTTAATTAATTAATTAACATCAAAATTTCTGCACTAGTACTAACAAATTAGAAAGCTTAGCATGAAAATGGAAGGCTTTTGTTTGAAATAGGTTGTACGGTTACTTTAATTATAGGATAATAAGTATATCTACAGCATTCGAAAGCTTAAAAACACGACAATTCTATTTAAAAGTCAACGTATGGTCACATTAAATATGAGAGACAACTATTTTAATATCTTTTGCATTCTAAAGATTAAAAAAACGAAAGTTCTATTTAAATGAGAACGTATGGAGATAAGTATTGGAGATAAGTATTTCGATGTCTATTGCATTCGAAAGCTTAAAAATACGACAGTTGTATTTAAATGCCAACGTATGGAAATAAGTATTGGAGATAAGTATTTTGATATCTATTGCATTCGAAAGCTTAAAAATACGGCAGTTCTATTTAAATGCCAACGTATGGAGATAAGTATTGGAGATAAGTATTGAAGATAAATATTGGAGATAAGTATTGGAAATAAGTATTGGAGATAAGTATTTCGATATCTATTGCATTTGAAAGCTTAAAAATATGACGTTTCTATTTAAAATTGAACGTATGTTCATCTTAAGTATGGGAGACAAGTATTTTAATATCTTTTGCATTCTAAACTTTAAAAATACGACAGTTGTATTTGAATGCCAACGTATGAAGATAAGTATTGGAGATAAGTACTTCGATATCTATTGCATTCGAAAGCTTAAAAACACGACAGTTCTATTTAAAAGTCAACATATAGTCACCTTAGGTATGGAAGGCAAGTTTTTGATTGTATATTGTTTTTGCGTTACACATACTCAAGCCTATATTTAGTTTCTTTTAGCAATCCCTACAGTTTTAGTGTATCGTAAAGACATTACATTTAGTAGATATTATGTCGTTCAATATTTACAAGCCTTTTTTTGGAATGAAAACTTTATTGTACTTCAGCAAAAGTAATGAAAACTGTTTTTTTGAGTCCAAGTTTTATAATCCTTGATAGTAGCGATACCGTTCAAGTATTTACATATAAAAATTGATATCAGTATCATATATAAATCCAATTTCGCTGACTTCGTAATAAATAAAAATATAAAAATTATTTACATATTTTAATAAAATCAACAGTTTTGCTTTAAAATATTTTTACGATTGACACGTTACGTTTCAATCACATGAAAGCTTAATTCGCATATGGAAAGTATAAAACTTTTTATGTCTGTTTTTCATATTTTACAATACTTTTAACATTTCAACAGAACAAGAATCCTTATTCCTGCATATATATGAATACATGTGTATAATTTTTTTCTACCGAACACAATAATGGCTTTCAAATTTATTATCCAATATTTTTATTTTATGAGTTTATGAGCAAAATGTTGATTTTACGATTTAAAATCATTTTCAATAAACCTTTGCGGTATTGCAATACTCATAAAAGTACAAAATTTCAAAAAGCATATAAAGTATAAGAGCATATATACATAAATACATCTAGTATATGTAATACGTCTTAATTATACAATACAGATGGATGATTACAAAAAGTACATCACAAGAACGTAACAAGTTGAATATATAAAATTTATTAAAACAAAAAAAAAATAATTTAATCAACTCAAATTCTGTTTGAAGAATGATTTTCATTAATATTTTTTTTGTTTATATATAATATATATGAGCGATACACGTTCAATTAAATAAAAATTTGTTGAGGTATACTTAATCTGATTAATTCAGATGTGATTTTTGCTTGCAATAATATTTATAATTAAAAATTTTGTATTGTAAAATACAGAGTATCAAAATAGATTCAAAAAGTATAGAAACCATAAATTATGATTAGTTACATTGAATTAATTATTTCAATTTTTTTTCTATTATATTAAATTATATATAACGGTTAGTCTGTATGTCAGACTTCACTAAGCAACCCAGAGGTCAAAACTGGTACTTTTATTTTCAGATGGCCTACCTCGTCGTGTTTATTGTTATGTCAAGAACATTTTTGTGATGCATGTATATTCAAGAGCTACCTTTATCATTATGGTGAGGGTTCCAGCATTAATTTCTGATTGTTGTTCCGAGTTCTCGATGAAATGTTCTACAAGAATTGTCGCTTTGCTCTTAACTTGAGCTAGACATCCACATATAGGTGGGAATTTGATAATGTTTTCACTTTCTTCTAGTAGATTCCGAAAAATTCGTCAGTTACTAACGAAAGTCTCTGTACATATAAACTCATTAGACTAAGGCTGATTGCATTGGTAATATTATTACTTATAACACAACTTTAGTTAATTAGTTTCCTGGTTGAACCATTTTGTCACCTAGATCATACTTTTTTGAGTTTTTCTATTTCATCACCTAATTATGTGGTCTTCAGATAAGAGCAGATACTTATTCTTACATGAGTACTGAAAAAATAACAGAAATATAATAGCTTACCACTGGACAAATATGAACGGTTTCATTTACTTCCCTTAAGTTGTAATATTTTCTGATATCAAGATTACGAATACGTTTTTACATCAACTGGCCTCGTTTAAACAAGACTTATTAGCAAGATTTTAGATTTGATAACATAAAGGGTATAAACTTTTGTTTGCTGTTTAGATATTATGAAGTTCTTCATAGCAATATTTACAGTATTGTTTCCGGAATCACCATTCTTCACATATGGGGCAAAAAATTCCTTGCCCACCTTTTTTATTAAATACGAATAAAAGGTACAGTAAGTACTTTTTGCTAAGCACCAAGCTAATGAATCCAAACCCATTTGTGTGTACTGAAGAGACTATTATATTACACATCTCTAGCATGGTTGTCATGACAAGTATCGAATCCATATTTCAGTTATTACAAGCTACCATGAATTTTATTTTTTATTAATTGTAGTTTCACTAAGGTTTCTTGTACAATTGTTCCGGCTGTACTAAGGATATACGTATCGACTATATAGAAAATTATCTGTATGGACTCGATGTCAATTGTATCTTGTTAAAGCACCAAAGGCTTTACTTACTTTCTTCAACGCGACGTTGAAGAGGAGGCAAACCAGAATATCGATATATATATGATTTATATGATTTATAATAAATAAATTTGTTCAAATTTTACAAAGTAGAAATAATGATATTGGACTATTAATTTTTTTGAATTTATATGTTTTATTTGATTCAGCTATTATATTACAGTTGGTAAATGATAAACTCACTTTAATCATTGAGTATTCAATCACTCATATATAGTCATGTTTCAACTTAACATAAATTGGCTTATTTATATTTAATATAGCAACTATGAATTTGTTATTTACTTTATGTATGACTAAGATAGTGATTAGTATAAGTGTTTAAGTTAATGTATTAAGAAATGTTTACAAAATCATTTTTAGATATTAACTCTGTCTTTGAACAGAGCCTATATAACAAATGATATTACACCAGAACAATCGCTATTTAGATAAAAGCTCTGTTTACATAAGTAATGTGTTATTAGTTTTTTAAAAGTAATTTTTTTAAAAAAGATATACGTGTTCTTTATATATAAAGTCAATTTTACTTTAACTTAAAGGAAATTTTATTTATGCATTTTTTTTAGAGGAAATTGAAAAAAATTTGATTTCCTATACTTATTATTTAAAGTATCACATAATTAAAAAGAAATTTTTTTTTTGTAATAATTGTTTTATAAAATTTTCTTTAAATTAGATTTTTCAATTTCAATGCTATATTAATTTCTTTGCTAACAAAAACTTTGGCTTTTTCATTTAAATATTAAAAAGAAGAAAGTTTATAGAATTTTAGTTTTCAACTTTTGCTTTAAGAAACTTTTTGACATTAAAACTTTCAACATCAAGTACTGCAACTACAATTCAAAATCTATTATATATGTATACAAAAAATAAATTTTAGTCATTAAGCTAATTAAAATTTTTATAAATATGAAACGAAGATAATACGACATATTTTAATGAATGTCAGCAAAAGTTGCTGAAGCATTAGAAACGCTGTCATTGCTTCGCTTATACTGCTACTTTAAGTATAAGCAAGCTTAAAGTATCAACAGTATCCTTTGACGATATATATCTACTATGTATAAGGGTACGTGCTTGTTATATATTATGTATTGCTATACTATTGTATTATCTATAATCGGATAAAATTTCTGCTAGCAAATTATAACTGAAAAGTCACAATGCATAAAACATGCTCGTACATTTGCTGAAGTCCTCTGGGGTATAAGATGTCAGAAATCATTTTGTTGTCATTAAGCTTGCATAAAACTACTCAGCAACAGCACAAGCGGCAGCATTTAATTTCCACAAAACAGTCGAAAACTTACTAAAAAATAAAAAACCAAAAAATGAAATTACAAAAAATTTTAAACAGTCAAAAAAAAAAGACAGTATTTGTTAGGAAATTTTGTCATTTTGCAGAGTAAGTCGCAGATACTCTGCTACTGCAAAACGAGATCACTCATGCTTCTCGTGCCAATGTTATTGCAGTTGTTTTCCGGTATTGCATTCTCACAGCTTCAGCTTCGGTTAACTTTGTATAATGCATTTGAAAAGATTTGTACAAGTTACAAACTCATACTTATTATATTGTAATTAAGCACACAGTTCTCGCATTTCAATACTTTCACATACAACCAACTGAAATATTCAGATTTACTCCTTTAATGAGTTCGCTGCTGCTGCTGCTCGTAACAGTATTTGCTTACACTTTTGATGTAATTAACAGTGGTAATTAACAGTGTTGCAAATGCATTGTAGACTACACTTAAAGAACCATGAGTATTTAAATTATGATATTTTCATCGCCTGCACTGTGCAACTAATGTTCCATGAGTGCGATGAATAGATATTACTTTAGTATGCTGCACAAATTTATAATAGAGTTGGGTATCTTTTATTCATCTACTCACATTAACAAATGTAATTATTTATTATTTTTTTTTCATAAGTAAAAAATTTGTATGTATATTTTAATTTTCATTTTTTTAAATTTTAATATTCCGAAATTAATTTCTATTTTTAATAATTTGTTACAGCTCATTAACCATTTCACCTTTATCTGATTTAGTAAAAAAATTAATCATCAGTTTTAACATAAAATAGAAAATAAATTGAAAATAATTTTGAATAGAACTGCTAACACACAAAATAAGTATTTATTAAAGATATTTTTAACACACAATATATTCTTTTTCGTCAGTTTGTATATACTTGTAATTAATTTTAATTGAATTATTTTTCCATATTCTTTTACATAATCTGCTGCTACTACTACAACATCTTACAACTACATTTTCTATTATCTACAAATAAAAAATGTCCTGTACACGAATATATAATATGACAACAGATCCACCACAAGTGACATTATCATTAGGCTCAACATTGAAACCTGACGACATAAAGGAAGGCGATGATGTTTACTTTGAGTGTCATATTAAAGCGAATCCAAAGGAACATCGCATTACATGGTCACATGATGTAAGTACATAATTACAAACAAACAATGACAATGGCATAATAAATGTTTATCAAATATAAAATATAACTAAAGCAATAGAAAATAATTTGAAAGGAGCTCTGTCCCCTCTCCTAAAAATTTGTTATACAAGAGTGAATTTGTTAAAGTAGTAGGAAAAATTAAAAAATAAATAAAATCTATCAAAAATAAACATTTGCGGTAAGTAATAGATAGATAGATAATAGATAAAAATAATAGATAATTTTATATACTAATTTAATTTATAATTTGTTTTTAAAGGTAGTGAAATTCAGAAATTAATGAAATATTGTATAAAAAAATTGGTGGTAAAAACCCTTAATATTTTATATAAAACTTCAAAACAAAACAATGACTAATGTATTTCCCTTATTTAACTTAATATCTTTATATCTATTTTTATTAGATTTTATATCAAAAATACATTTTTCATCTCACCCTCACAGTGATTTTTATTTTTAATACTAAAAGTAAAAGGGTTGCGAAATTTTGTGATACTATTTTTGATTTTTAAAAATAACGACAGTTAACAGTTTAAAAATAAACCCGAAATTTATTTTTGCAGAATTCTAATTAATGAAGTGATAAACTAAAACACTGAAAAAAAATAAAATTTTAAAATTCATGACACATTAAAGACCCTTTTCATTAAACTTTTTACATATTAAAAGTTCAATAACTGTCGACTCATGCTTAGAATATTAAAAAGTTTACAAATTTTTAATTTGTAAATGAATGAAATGAATTAAATTATTTAAAATAAATTTCATATGTGATTATATCTAATCAAAACTGCATTAGCAAATTAAGTAATTTGTCAAAAAATTGATTGAAAATTTTGTTAGAAATAATTGACTTTAATTTGTTTGTATTAATTTCTTTAAAACATAATATTATAATTTTGTTTTAAATACATTTTTAGTATAAATTATACTAATTTAATTAATGCAAATATGAACTAAGCTTCTTATACACATCGCTGAATATTTAAGTAGATGTCCTTAAGGAATCATCCATGCAGTTATTAAAGTGTGGATTTAAGTGTAGTTGCAGTACAAATATTATGCATTAATTAGTTAATTAATTTAGTAGTCACCTGTCGAAATTATGATCAAAATCACAAAGTGAGTTTCTATTCAAAGACAAATCAGACGATGGTCAACTCCTTTAAAAGTATTAAACACACTTTATCTTCCTTCAATTGAATCAGGAAATTACAATATTAGAGTAGAAATGTTAGGATTTTTTACTCTTAACATTATTAAAATTTATTTTATTAATAACAAAAACGGTTTCTATTATTCCCTAGGGCGTACCAGTATCACAAAATGTATCGTGGGGCGTTATTATATCGACACGCTCACTTGTGTTGCAACGCGTTGGACGAGTACATGCGGGATTCTATGCTTGTTCTGCAGCGAATGATCGTGGGGAAACCCAAAGTGCTTTGGTCAACTTAAGAATAAGATGTAAGTAAAAATGAGATTTGTGGAAGTATAATTTATATATTAATTTTAGTATAAATGATATATCAACGCAACTAATTTTGTAAATCAATAAGAGAAAAAAAAATTTTTTTTTTCAAAAATTCAACACAAAATTTATATTTTAGAGATACAGTAGAGGGTCGATTTAAGAAATACTCGATATAACGAAATACTTGTAAATAACAAGAATCTCAACAGCAATCGCAATCTAAAAACTCAATGAAATACCTCGATCTATATATATAAATATTTGAATTAACACAGTTTTGAATCACTAGACCAGTTTCGTTTTAATTTACTTTAATTACAAATCTATCTGAGATAAAGCAAACGTCATTACTGAAACACATTTTATCAAACTCATTTTAATTTTATAACTCCAACACTTAATCAACGAAATAACGATCTTATTATTGTGATAGTATCTAATATAATTTATGTCAAATTAAAAATAAACATGTGATATTAATATTGAAAACTAATTCATATATAATATAGTCACGTATCAATAATTCTATATTATAAATGAAAAGTAGTTAATAATATTAATATTAATAGTTAAAACTGATTCATATATAAGATAGTCACGTTTCAATAATTCTATTTTATAAATAAAAAATAATTAATAATAATATCTACAATCTATAATATATATGAATTAGTCAAGTTTTGGAATTTGAAATTTCCTACTATTTAAGTTTTTACTATCTAAAATAAAATTCTTGTTATAGAGAATAAAAACTTTAATTATAATATATTATCGTTCTTCGATTAAACGGTTTGCGTTACTTAAATACATACCATGTTGCCGGTATATTAAAGTTACACATATTCGATAAAAAGTATATACAATCCTAGTTGTCACTCTATCGAATGAACTGTAGAACACTGGTTAATATACTATCAAGACCTGTATGGTTGTATCACATGTGCAGATATCTTCAACAAACACGATTGTAGAAAATTTACACAAAAAAAGCCAAAAAAAAATTCTTATAGGTACCATGTCTTCAGCAGTGACGATTACAAGAAATTTACCAAAGTGGGCATCACGACAACCCTTGATAATCTCTTCTGTTTCTGTTTAGTTCACTCGAAAACTCAAATAAAATTACCAATTTTGTAGTTACCAGTTTTGAGGGACTCAACTTAGTCTTTGATATTGAACTTTAACCTAAAATGTGCCATTAACACATATGTCTTAACCACAGTGCGTGGTCATTCACTGCATTTAGCGACTCTAATCTAATAAAGACAATCTGACCAACCAAAAATTTAAAATTTCCATTTGAAATTTCCAAACATTTTAAAGAGATTTGGTTTAAGTGCGTTTTACGCACATTATTTCAACATAAATATATATCAACTTAAATATTAGTATGCATTGTTCATTTGTAACTGCTATGTGGTGGTCAAAATCATTGGTGAAAATTGGCTAAACACATGCCAACATTTGTAGATATCGGTACAGATACAGATACTAAAGTACATACATATCAATCATACATAAAACAAACAAAAACTGAGTGCACCGCGAATTCATGCACAAATCAATGTGTGCCACATCACAGCACATATGGGTTGCACATCTGGGCCTTACCGATAATCAACAGCAAATAAGTAAGAAAACAGTCCAAACAATAAATGAGAAACGAGAAACGAGAAACGTTGCAATGGAACGAATGGAAACGAAAATATATCACAATGACTTGTTTACTTTCAATTACGTTAATTAGGCCAATGTAATGCGCGCTTATATTGATTAATTATCTACAAAACTACTCAATGCACTTTAACTACACTTTAAGATACTCATTCATTAAACTACGAAAATGTACTAGTAGTCTGTAGCCTGGTGAAAATATTGTACAATGAAACCCTGACAAAGGATATTATTTTTTATCAGCACATAAACCGAAACTTGTCATGTGCACTATTAATCACAAATGTGTCAGTAATATTTATGTAAATAATATTATTTTATATGCGTACAATTGTGTTGCTTTTCAATTTTTATTATTTCATTTTATAATTAAAGTCATTTCAGTAGGTTAATTAAGAAATTAATTGCTGTATACTCGGGCGATCATATTTACACATTTTAATTTATATTTATATATGGCATAATTGCATTTTACGCCATGAATTGGGTTAACGGACAAAAAGTTACAGTTTCATATAATGAGCCTTTATTCTCAATTTTTTTTTCTTTTTTTTTGTTATTTTTGTATATATTTTTTATTTCTCGTTATTTATTTATTTACTTTTTTATCACTCATTTATTTTTATTTATATTTATTTTATATGTTTACGTGGCATGCTTAAACTGTATTATGATGCTGGGCTACATAATTTATCTCCTGTCATTACATTGGCCACACATTTTTTTATCCTGTCTTCATTTAACATCCTGTTAATGATTGCTCACACATCAAGCTTATGTGTTAGGTGTTCCTTAATAATACCGCAAGTCAATGCTGGTCTGTTTGCCGATAAAATACATCAAAGTTGAGCTTAGCACCGTGCAAAGCCTTTACATCTATATGCATAAGAAACAGGAATAAATTATCATAATTGGTTTCACAGTCTTTTAGGTAAAACTCCTTCGGCAAAGAAAAATCATGGATGTGTTTTAATTAGGAAAATTATTGACACACAAGTTGGCAGTTATAATTTACTATAATAAAAGGATACTATTCTGTAAAAATGCTAAAAAGAAACCTGTTAAATAATAATGATTCATGTCGAATCAGAAATTAACTATAATTCCATAATAAATCTAAAAGCAGTATTAATATTATATTCAAACTATTGAAAAGGGCAAAAAAAAAGAGCCTGTTGAATAGTTTTTCTTCGTGACTTATCAAAATTTTAACTATAATTCGATTACAAAACTTAAAATGTTATTTATATTATAAACAAAATATTTAAAAAATTATTGAATGCTTTTCATATACGTTAGGTTCAGTATGTTGCGCCTCATCCATTTCATTCATCGAATGAGTAGTATCTTACTCTACCACAAATAGACAAGATGAGAAAAACCATAGGTATTAAAAAGATTTTCTTAATAATTATACTAAAAACGCAATAAAATATGTCTTTAATACAATAATAATTGCATCTATTATAAAACGCTAGATACTAATACTTAGTGTACTAATATACTAATAATTATGTTAGGTCAGATTTGAAAAGAGCAAGCACCAACTATTGGCCATTGCGATCTCTGAAATTGGACGGAGGAGGAATCGAGCTCTACAAACTATTGCTTAGAAAATAACTCTAGATATTATTCGTGTTAAACCATTTGGTTTTCTGCTAGGGATATCCGATAATTCTAATTGTATTAGCTATGACAGTTATAATAAAGTAATAGCAGTGCCACATCCCCTCTTAATAATTAAAAGCTATTTATCAATGTCAACTTTTTCAAAACTTTTATCTCTCGGCTTTTAACAAAATAATATGGATTATCAATATTTCTGAGATATATATATATTAGCATAACAATATAAAATTCTTCGAAATAAACATCCTTGAAAGCTCTTCTTCCAAACTATTGGATTCTCTAGATATAGTTAAGGGGTCCCCTAGTGTATACTTTCACTAGCTCCTAGATCTTGGATAAATTATAAAAGTTAATTAACAGATTCCACTTCTTTTGTCATGGCCCCTTCTACAAAGTCCGATTAGTAGATTGTACTACCATTATACATTGGTTATTGGGTTAACGTCTATTACGGAGAATTCTTTTAGCAGTACAGCCCTAAATGATATATCACTTACCGATACAAGTGACATATCACATATAAATTATCCTGCAGTGCACTAACTATAGCTAGCTATATAAAAGTATCCGGGCTAGCCAGTCTCTAAGCGAGACTGATTGAATTTATTATCTAATGACTTTCACCTGTTTAGGTATCCATACGTAATGATGAATAGTGATTATTGTTTATATACCATATACTACATACATGCAGTGACATGTCGCGTTGTTCACCAAATTGTTTTTACAGGCTCTTCTTATGTCTGACCTCTATATTCATCTTCTAGCTTAGATCAAAATCAAGCCACCACACTTATTAACCTAATTTCTACAATATAGGTGAATTGTAAACTTAGTTTAGTTATGTTTTTGAATTGGATAAGAATTTTAATTTTTTTCTATACGGACTATGCTGAAGGTACACTTTAGTCTTTATTTTTTGACTTCTGTCATATATGTGTTAAAAATCAGTATCAGCAATTGTACCAGTATATAGTATATTGTAGCTATATTCGTATATTTTGTCAAACATAATATATATCAACATCTACCGGAAAGAAAGTTTAGTGCTGTTTTGTACCGTCAATCTATTAAATTGATTACTGACAGCTCTAATTACCTAGTTTAATTGCTAATAAATTGTTAAGTAAGGACTTTTTCTTTATTTTTGATAAGAATTTTAATGGAATGAATTAACTTAAAGCTACTTCAATGATCCATTGTATAGCAAGACACATAAGATAAGGAAACTGTAATAAGCAGAGTTAATACACATGCAATCGATTTAAAGATTCACAAATGAAAATCAATTGTGGAACCATATCAGGTTCAAAGCAGGTGAAACTGAATACCGAAATTGTTTATATCAATCCTATTTTAATTGTTTGAGCTCCCTTATCGTCTCATCACTTTTAATAATACACATACATTAAGACCGAAAAGTTTTCGGAAATTCTCATTTAAAATTCGCGCGCTGTATATTTTTCGATATTTTAAGTTTATGTAGTTTGGCAGCAATTAGGGACAATTACTATGCCAAAAATGAGCGCGATCTGTCAGACAGTTCGTTTACGGCAGCTGTTGAAACCAGTTCACCTCAGTAGTGCGTTGCGAAAAAAACAATGGAAAAAAATATTGAACAAAGAGTTTGCATCAAATTTTGTGTTTCGAACGAAATTTCGTGTGCAGAATCGTTGCGAATGCTACAAAAGGCTTATGGGGAATCAGTTTTATCGAAAACTCAAGTTTATGAGTGGTACAAAGCCTTTCAGGACGGTCGTACGACCGTCGAAGACATTTCGCAACGCACTACTGAGGTGAACTGGTTTCAACAGCTGCCGTAAACGAACTGTCTGACAGATCGCGCTCATTTTTGGCATAGTAATTAAGGACAGTGCTGCCAAACTACATAAACTTAAAATATCGAAAAATATACAGCGCGCGAATTTTAAATGAGAATTTCCGAAAACTTTTCAGTCTTAATGTAAAGTACTTATCGTTTACACAATTGCTGTTTTACCTATAAAAAGATATTTTGCATAAACTGAATTTGCCATAGTAAATCATATTAATGTTTTTATTTCATAGTGAATAATTAAGGATATTAATATTTATGTATAAAATACATATGTTTAACTTAATATATAAAAAAATAAATATTGGCAATTTCTTTTTTGGTCCGCAAATAAACGTATTAAATATATTATTAATTTATAGGCACTATCATTTTTTATGAAAATTAACATTAATAAACCATAAATAATTGCAACATGTATATCAATGCGATTATCCTTATGATTCTTTAATGCAACAAAACGATCAAAATGCAAATATTGTCAACTCAAATTGAATTGTGAATTAATTTAATTACACATTTTCCCCGAGTGTGTAATTTTTGTGCACAATCAGGCACAAATGTGCGTAAACCGGTACGAACGTGGAAGCAATCCACAGGACTTCAATATTCATCGCCGGTAAATGAAAACACGTAATTAATTTTTATTATTCTTCGCTAATTTATCGAACTGATTTAATTTCAGTATTAATTTTCTCATAGCTCATAATTTTCTCATATTATAGTATTTAATAATTTTTACATATTTAAGTTCAACTAAAAATTTTGAGGTTCAAATATATTCGTGTGAGATAATTTTTATTAAATTTGTTAAAGAATACTGTTACCTATTATTGTGGAATTATTTAAGGCATTCATATTGTATAAGTCTTATAATAAGAGCATCATTCCGGTTTTTGGGCGTCGTCCATTTGCCTAGGATCTTAAAAATATATTCAAAGAGATAACTGTTAAGATATTTTCTAAGCTTCTTGCATATAAATATAAAGCAATGAACTAAATCAGTTGTGACCAGGTATATATGTTATATACTCATTAATATCTGTTCATCCATAAAACACTCTTCTTACCTCAAAAATGAACAAATCAGCTAGAAATATGCAATGACTAATGATGAAACTAAACAAATCTGGTTATCTATTGAACCATTTAGAACTATGGAATTAATCAATTTGAGTAGAACTGAAAATGATTATATTATATCATTTGTAATAGATTATTGTTAGAAACCTCAAGCAATGGAAACAACAGTCTACATAAACATTCATGAACAAGTTTTTTGCGAGGCATTCTTAAAATAGGCCATCTTGTAAAATTTTCCAATGAGTTCTTGTAGAGTTTGAGCAGCTGCCAACAACATAAGTAACCATCTATCTATATAACTGGCTAGCAGAAACTGGAAACAGCAGAATACGTTCTATGCGTCTCCCGTGGCAAGACGCAGTGGAGTTTTGAGCCCTGAACACTTGCTAAACACACCCCACAATTATGACAAAATTCTTGAAAAATTTGGAATTGGACTAGTTGGGCGAAGGGCTGCACAAAAGATCTTTCAGGTCGCAGTGCATGCACAACCTATCCATAATAATAATAACTAGCTTAGTGGTGAAACCCGTAGAATAGAACACAGGTCCTTAATATGTCATCGCTCTGCTAGTAAAGAAATTGCTCATAACGGATGTAAGTTGAATAGAACACGATTTAGATTGATTCTGATGGCCCTATTTTAAAGAGGCAGTAAGCAAGTGCTTAATAGACATGCATGTTCAGATACTTAGACATGATGATCTGTGTGGGTTTTACTAAAAGGAAGAAAACGAATTACCAAACTCTATCTCATGTCCAGTATTAGCAAGAAAGCGCGATACAATTCTTAAAATAAACGTTTTTGGAAGTCCTAAACAACTATCAGAAATTTTAATTTAATTTAATTTTCGATATGATAGAAGTATTCTTTAAAAAGCAAGAACGTGTCATAAAAACTCTTGAAAAAAACCAAATCACTAAAACCGGATATCTTAATATAAAATCCTGTAGGTAATGCAACGTATCTAAAGGTGTTCTACGTGACGCCTATGCATAATACCAAAATATCATTAACTTAACTCATTTGTTGTTAATTACAAATTTTACCTACCCACTTTAATTAAGCATACAGTCAGTGCTCAACTTTTTTCAATTGTATACATAAAAATAAAAAATTATTGTGTCACATAATAGTACTAAAAATAATTATAAAAAGCATGAGCATTTAAAAAATCAGAAAGAGTGCCACTAAACAGCACTAAAACGGTAGAAGAATACTACTACATTATATATTTTTTTTGTGAAAAATCTTTGAATATATATATAAACATTTTCAATATAAAACAAGACTTCATGTCGTTGTATCTCAAGTTATAAAATTCATAAGCATCTGTTTCTATTAATATTGTTAGAGTTTTGAACTTATGAACCTTAAAATCGATTTATGAGCAAAACCAAATTATGTTTTAAATAATTTTAAATTAATTGCAAAACATTAGAGAATAAAAATCAACTGATTTTATTTATTTTATTCAATTATTTCCAGTAAATAATATTTGTTTATATGGTAATTTTACTTTAAACAAAAAGTACTCATACTAATACTGGGTTAAGTTCTTCTCTTATTTTGAATGAAGAAAACTTTTCAAATAATTTTTAATAAATTTCATAACAATATGTCTATCCTACATAACCCAGAACAAGATACGAACAAAACAGTTGTGAATATTTTGCAAATTTTGCTCAAAGGTTGTTATCAACAATTCTGTTGGTTTTCCGTGTAAGGACATGAAAAAGTGTACGTACATGTAAATAACTCAGCTCCAAGTACTTTTATGCGTATAATAAAGTTTTGAGTTCAATCGTTCGGAAGGAAATGAATGAATTATATTGAAAATGTAACTCGGAGCAAAAAGGTACTTTTTTACTTTTCTCATTATTGGAATATTTACATAAACTGCATAAACAACACACAGAACAAACGAATGGTATGACATACGTGCGTCTGATCGGTGCCATTTATGGAAACGAACTTCCATACTGGCGGAGCACAATACAGTGTGCGTATCCCGCATATATGCTAAATACGCTTGTCCTGTCATGTGTACATAATGACACATTCGCGTACTACGTACTCCAAGTTATAATGCTTAAATTACTAACGAAAAGTTTTGTACGTGGAAGTTGGCGATAGACGTGAGCTGATGAATATCGACGTGAAGGATGCCTTGTTTTAATGTGAATATTGTAAAAAAAGCGTAAGGAAAAATAATGTTTACACAATTATAAGCGCATATGGGAAAATGACTCTTAACAAGCACTAATTGATATAAAAATATGTTTCGCAATAAATAAATATATATATGCTTATAAACCAAGAAAAAAAGGGAAGAAAACAAAGATATATGTGCTGTTGTGCGACGTAAATTATGAAGCACTTTTGCCATGTCATTTAGTGCTTAAGACATTATAAGTGGAAACTTCGCACAGCATCAACACTTTATTTTCAACTCGACTACTTTGTGAAATTTACTGTCAATTTTTATTCCTACGCCATTTTTCATCCTTGAGCTCCTTATTAAATTATAGCCTTTACACAACTTTCCTTACATCACTTATTCCTATAGCGGGTTGAAAGGAGAACAGTCAATTTTCATAAATTCTCATTTTTCTTTTTTTTTTTTGTACTTTATCTTTTGCAGATGCTCCTGTTTGTGGCACAAATGCAGTTGTTGTTATTGGTGCATCACTTGAAGAAGCTGTTCCTATACCATGTCGTGTTAACTCAGATCCACCAGAAATTGATTTCGAATGGACATTTTCAAGTAGTGGTGAACATTTTGAAGTGCCGTCAGGACATTATGCCACTATACAGGAGGCAACCACAACAGGCGATATACATCGAACCATTGTCGAGGCAAATGACACACACTTCGAGACATACGGTAAGTTCAAAAAAGCATATCAATACTTCTGCCCATAGTGTATTAAGATGTGGTATGTTGTTAGAAGTGGGTGAAAATAATATTATATATTTTAAATTATATTTTTTATAAAATAAAACTCAAAGTTAAGGGATTAAGTTATTGTGAAGTAGTTTTTGTTTGCACGTTTCACTTCACTCAGCGCATCAAGTGTTAATAGCACTAAAATATGTTATGAAGTAATGGAAAAAATTTAAAAAATCTTACTTATAGTAATGTAAGATTTGATACCAACAATATATGTATGTGTAGCGTTTAGCAAAGCTTCAAGCACTACTATTCGCCAGCTAGAAATTGCACAAAGCCAAGCTCTGAGAAGACTTTTCAAGGTACCATGTTACATTAGGGCAAATGACATCCTCAGGGACCTCAAGTTTGATCCGATCAAAAAATACATAAACGATAGAGCCTTTAAATTATTTGCAAAAACTGACAGACTTACCAACACCGCGTTATCGAATCTTAGAATCGTTACAGGCTCCTCGGGAAGGTGTGCAGATCTGAGGTCAATTATTGCTTAGTCTGATGAAATGAAAAACAATAATCCAGTCAAGGCGTAAAGAGGAGTTTAGCATGATCTTTTCATTTAGCAACAAAGCCAAAAATTATAATGTATTATTAATTGAACTCAAAACAAAGCCTGTTATATCAGGAAGGTTGATATATTTCATATTTTATGAGAAACGTTTGTGAGCAACGGCACACTTTTTAGCCACAACTGGTGGCATGACAAGGTCATGGTGGAGATCACTGTTTCTGATGTAGAATGCAGCATTTACGATGTATTGTAGCACTTTATTTTAAGAGAATTGAATACCATAATTTCAAACCGGCTTCAGTATTTGTTTATAAATCATTAGTTTGTTATAGACTGACAGTTTAAAGTTCCTGCAGATGAGGTGGTAAAATTGGCTTAGTTTTAAATCAAGCTCAACTCGTTTTTTCTTAACATGCACAGATATATGGCTTCATTGGACTGAGAGATGAGATATTACTTAAACGTTTAATACTGAAGTACAAAAGGTACCAACGATTTCATTCAACTCAAAATAATTTGAATTAAATTGTCAGTAAATTCGTTCTTCTTAGTTGCATAGAACTGTAAATATATACTACTGCTTCTATATGAGTTCAAAATGTCATTTTTTTAAGCTTATATTAGTCTTCAGTATTTTTTAAAAACAAGTCATTTTGGATATATTTAAATATTATTTTTGAAACATATATTTAATTTCGTATAAATTGTTTAATTCAGTTAAACTCTTTTCTGGGAGTATTCAAATTAAACAAAGCTTTAACTCATTGTATGCAATTTATTTTTTGAAAGTAGATAAGCTTTAAACTTTAAATTTATTATTAAATAAAACCTATAAACAAAAAGTATTAGAAATGTCTTCAATACTTGAAGAAAATAAGAAATCACAAAAAAAAATTTGTGGGCATAAATGTATGTTTTTTTAGTTTAATTTAAGATTTTAAAAGAGATCTGAAGGTATAGAGATTCTTCTGAATTTAAATTAAATTAAATTAAATTCAAAAAATTTCTTACTAAGCATTACATATTCAAGTGCAAAGGATAATGTGATAATATATTTTATTTGAGTTTTGTCTGCAATTTATGTTCTGCTTATTTTGAGATACAATCTGTGAAATATCTTTTTCATGTAAATACCAATTATTTTAGCTAATAATATTAAAAATATTTTTCTAAATAATTTCTCAGGAATTATTAGAAAAACCACATTTATTGCTATTCATACTTACAATCTCACACAATATAACAGCTTTTTTGTGTAAATCCTGTGTAGCACATGTGCAACAACTCTTGGAGTAATAACTCAGGCATTTGTGTTGATTCTAAGGAATTAAAAATGCATTCTGTGAATTCATGGTTAGTTGAGTTTTATCAATATCTTATATCAGTATTAAATTATCTATACTCTCAGTTGGTTACTTCTGGTATTGTGACTACAATGTAGTTTGTCTGTTGATGTTAGCCGAACATGTGCAATTCAAGTACAATATTTACAATATTCCTATATGAAAATATATTACCAACAACAATATTTTATTTGATTCCGCACACAATATCATGGTGTAATCTAAATGGGAATTAAATTTAATTTAAATTCATATTTATAAGCTATAGTATTGTGCAGAACAAATTATATATGTGTGTGTGTGTTGATAGATGCATAAGGATTTAATATCCTTCATGTGTATATACCAGTGAATGTGTGTATTTGTAAAACTTGCAAACTGTAGATAGATTTATATATATAATAAATTCTTTTTGTGTTTGTTTTATTTCAGTTGAGACTGTAAGTGAGCTGATATATACGCCAAAGGGTGAAAGGGATTACGGTACATTGGCGTGTTGGGGCCGAAACTCAATTGGCAAACAATCGGAGCCGTGCCTGTTTCAGGTTGTACCAGCAGGTAAGTTTACTTTACTTTTCACTTCCAAAGAAGCTGCACAGATACTTTAGCATAAACATAGATCCGGGTATAACAGATTTACGGATATCAATGTCTGTTTGTATGCGATTAAGCATAAAATTCACAAGTTAGGTAGACAATAGTGGCTACTCGAACCTAAAAGTTGACAAGAGCTTATTTAAAAGTTTTGCATGCAATTAAAAAGTTTTCTATACAAATTTGTTGAAAATTGAAAAACTCAGAACTCAGAACTCAGAACTCAGCTTGAAAAGGAAAGCCTTTGTCGAGGTAAATTTCTTTTCACTATCAATACATAACGAATTGTATAGATTTTTCTTAAGCAGATTAAAGCGATTTATGCTGAAATGATTTGAAGCATAAATACAAACAAATTTGCATTAAAGATTATAAATATTTTGCAAAATATTTCAATATAAATAATTCATTTAAGAATTTTATTTTACTTTTTTAATGCAAAATGACTTTTAAATTAAAATAACTCTCTTTTATTTGAAAATTGATATGAAATCATATTTTTATATGGTATGAAAACTAACTTTTATATATGATTTTACTTAAATACACATATTTATGCATTGAATTTTCTCAATTTAAACAATATATAATAATTATAACCAAATAAAATAAATTACTTTTTACTTAAAATTCAAGCCAAACCTGGTGCTCTACGCAATTGTACATTGCGTCCATACGTGGTAACGTCAGCATCGCTCAATTCATCGAATCAGACAACAATGCACAGCAATCAAATATTACCAACGCAATATGGACATCATGAATCAAATTTTCCACATATGGAATATGTACGTGAGCGACATCCAAACAACAATAGCATCAATAACAGCAAAAGCAATAGCAATAGCAACAGCAACAGCAACGGCAACAGCAACAGCAACGACAACGGAAATATTAAGAATGATAGCAACAGCTCCGGTAATAATGTTAGGCATGGCACCAGCATAAATAACAACAGAAAAACTAATAATAAAATCAACAATGCTAATCAACAACATAAAAAATCTGCAGCGACAACAACAACAACAACAAACACAAAAGACTATCAACAACAGCGACAACAAACATATCTACAACAACCATTAATGAATAAGCAACAATTGCAACGCCTTAAAAAACGCACATCATTTACGCCATCGCAAACACTAGCAGCAATCAAGAGGCAGCAACTACGTAAACAACAACAAAAACAACATAATAAGCTAAACAACAACCAAATGATTGTCGATGTGAGCAACTACAATATAGCTGTCGTAGCACCATCCTCATCAGCAGCATCATCAGCATCAGTAGCAGGAGCAGGAGCAGCAGCAGCATCAATAGTAGCATCATCATCATCATCGGTAGAAGCGACATTGTCAGCTTCAACAACAATGTCATATATCAATAACAAAACTGATGGATCATCAACTAAGGCACGAGTGGACAATAAGCGCAGAGTGAAACGTGCTACTGATGAGGCACAAAAGACAACATACAATAACACAAAGAAATCGGTAAGAATATCTACAGCAACAGCAACAACATCAACAACAATAAGAGCAGAGAAGAAGAATAAGTTAAAACATACAACTAAGAAACAAAAATCAAATTTATCACTGTCGAGCGATAGGAAATGGCAGAAAAATAAAAATATGGCAACTGCTGAGAACATTCTTATTGGTAATGGTGAAAGTAACAACAACAATAATAACAACAGCAGCAGCAACAGCAACAACACTAGCAACAACACTAGTAACAGTATTAGCAATAGAAGCAGAAGTAATATAGTAGAAAAATATCATAATAACCGTCGTAAAAACACGCATAAACGTGAGGTAAGTCCGACAAGGGTAATCCATCATTATGAAAGAGAAACGGAAACGGAAGTTGATGCAGCTAGAATCGCAAAAAGAGAAACTGCAACTGCAGCAGTTGTCGTTAAGCACACAAATGCAACAAAAAGAACAAGTAAACATCTTGCAAATGCAAAAACATCAATAATAGCTGCACAATATGAAAGTCAACAACAGCAACACCAACAACACCAACAACATCAGCAGTACAGTAAACCAGGACAACATGAAGAAACATTGCAGCAGCAACTTACAACTCAGCGAGAATTTAATGACTTTAGCAACAAGAACAAGAACAAGAACAAGAACAAGGACAACGAATTACGAAAGCAACGAAATGCAGACAATGCCAAAAAGGACAATTTAGAAAAAATACGCATACGTAAATCATTGACAATGCAAAATAATATGGAACGGCATACCATTGCCAGCAAAAACAAAAATGGCAGCAATAGCAATAACAATAATGTTGCAAGCAATATAAAAATACCGAATGCACCTTTAATAAGCAACAACAATAACAATAGCAATATGAAAGGACAAGAAAGTCAACAGGAACACAAACAACGAAATACAAAATCCAACGAATTGAATGTTGCTAATATTAATAGTGCCATTGTCAACAATATGCAGCAAACAATAAATGATCTTAATCAAATAGAAGATATTGTTGCTAGCAATATTGTTGATTCTGAATCCGTCAACGACATATTCGATAGCAATTTTACCAATAATGATGAGGATATTGATGCTGATATTGATGTTGATGCTGATGCTGATGCAGAAGCTGACGCTGAAGCTGAAGCAGTAGCTGAAACTGAAACTGACATGGAAGTTGAAAATGAAGTAGAAGCTGATTTAGATGCTGACACAGAAACTGATGATGATGATGATGATGATAATGGTATGGAGGATGAAGAAATTGAAGATGATGTTGCATTATTAAATGCTTTGGATGATGCTGCAACAATGCAGTCACACCAAGTGCAACATCAGCAGCAACAACAACTACTATTACAACAGCAGCAACAAGAGCAATATGTTCAAGAACCGCATTTTGATTATTCACGCATGGAATACAGCTTTAGTAATGGTGTAGCCACACATAGTCTAATCGGTGGCAATAGTGTTGATATGGGTGAAGGCGGCAGCATCAATATGGAAAATAACGATAATATCGTTTATTCAACCATGGAATTGGAATGTATGCCCGGTTATGATGGTGGCTTGCAGCAGCAATTCTTTTTAGAGGCATATGATTCGAAAACAAAGAAATTACGCTTAAATACGACAAGCACGTACTCGGATGTGCCCATATTCCGCATTGATTTAAGTGGTAAGTAGATACATTGAAAGTGCATTCAAAGATTCATCAATTTAAGAAGAACTACTCAACATGTAGTTATTGAAGTCATAAAGTGATTGATATGAAGGGTGTATTAAATGATTAGAAAATACAACAGTTAGGCATTCCTGAAAGTTTCAGTATTGGTAAATTTTAATTACTTAAAACGTTGCGTGATAAATGTATGATATATGCAAATTGACTTATAAATTCAACATTAAAGAATTATCATAAAAATATTATTCTACTACTGAGCACTGAGCACTGCCAATTCAGTAGACCATTGATCGTTAATATTATATATGTAGGTTTTTCATGAAATTTACTACAGTTTGGGATTTGTTGTTTAGTAATTTATATGGAGGCACAACAATACCAACTAAGTGATGAAGGCTTTGTCTGCTAAGAGCTGGACATTTACTAGAAATATATCCTGAGCTTTCAATGTTCATTTCACAAAAATTACAGACACACAGTTTCGGAGAGCCCTATAACTTGTGAAAAGGTAACACTAACTTAGAAAACAACCAGATGAGTTCCCAAATCCACTCTCCTTAGCAAAAGTATTATATTTCGTTCAGGAATCCCTTCGATGGGACAAGAAATCGTTTTACTTGACATTGATCTACACGATTACCACTAGTAGTCCGCAAGTTCTTTGCCTCTTACTTCCTGATGGCGTCATGACTTCTGCTGAATCCGCTGAGAGGCTTAGGATCAATTGACGAATATTTGCCTTTTCTTGATTGATTCTCTTGATTCGATAATCAGCCTACTTTAGGTTTTCAACAATTTTATTCACTCGAATACCGTACTGCATGATTTTCAAAAATTAAATTTATAAATATTAGTTTCTAATATTGGGTGACATAAAACGTTAACGCCGTTCTTAAGCAGAATTTTCTTTATTAAGATTTAATGTTTATTAACGATACCCATATATTTACCATTATTATATCTATAGGGGCTTTTACCTTTTTCCGTGTTGCTTCATATATTGCATCATCGTGAAACTTCAGTAGTTTATCCGCAACAGACCTTGATCAAGTGATTTTGAGCAGCTCTGCGGTCGTACAATTTTTACCATAAAGGGAGTTTAGGAAAGATAGTAGTCAGATAGCTTCAGTTCCAGTCTATATAGTGGATGCAACAAAACTTCTCAACCAAGTAGGGTTTATGATTTGTTGGAATTTATCATGATGATAAATAAATTATCATTAAATTAGCAAAATTATCACATATCTTTATTACTCGAAAAACTTCCATACTTCATATTAGCCTCAAACTTACTGTACGCTTCCGAGTTACCTGCGAATAAATCAAATAATTTCAATGCAGACAAAAACAAAAGTTATAGGCCACAAATTCGTGATGTGAATGTGAGTGGTAATTGTGGGTAAAGTTTTATCTAACGACGTTTAATTAGTTCCAAGTTGTTTGAAATTCGTTGGTTGTTCTTCCTTTTTTTGCTTTTGTTTTGGATTTTGTATTTTGTTTTTCAACAAAATATATTTTTGTTTTAATGGATTTGATATTGTCAGCAAAACTTTTACGCCAACAACACCTTCACGCTTTGGCTTGAATTCTTCCACCTCCGAATACCAGAGTAACAGTGTACGTACTCCAGTGAATTTAACTTTGTAGTTTATTAGTAAAACCAGGTTTAGCAGAATCAACAGAAATTGTGAGAGGAAAATGGAGGGGAAAAAGATTTTCCAACAAACACAGAGTAAAAACAAAAAGGAAGAGAAAGTGAAAAAGAAAAACAGAACGCGAAAAAATAGACAGAAAAGTGAAATATTCAAATGAAGTTGTCGAAAAATAAAATTTATCTCTAAATTCCACAGATTCCGGAATGAATAACGAGCAGCATAGATTTGTATTTATAAGATTTAATTTTATGCAAAAAAGCACGGAGCGCAAAAACGGAATTACAAAAACATGGCATAAAAGTTTGTGGCGGCTTAGTCGCTTAACGCAGCGCTGAAGTTAGCTGCAAAATCATCGCACTTGCGAGGTAATGAGCCAAACTTTGATTATTGAAGTTTTTGTGGTTGGCTGGATTTTTACATTTCCAGCAATTTTATTTTGCATATTTTTTCCCCCATTTATCTAAGTAACCTCTCCACCGTATACCGTATCCACCGTATTTTGGCAGAAATCTATCGATGAAGTTAACAAATACTTTTTGGATTTATAGAAGAGCTTATTTCAGTGTTTGCTTAAGTAAGCATATTTAGATACAAATTTATATAAAAGCAAGTATATATGTGTGTGTGTCTATATGTTATATAGGGACAGCAATGTACGTATGCAACTGTGCTTTATTTGCAAAGGCTAACGAAGCGTGAAGTCACGATTAGTTAGACAAATGCGCTAAATTCATACAGCAAAAGCCGGAGTTGCTTCATTGGTTACTTTTGGTTGCTGCTATTAAAACAGCAACTTTTTACACAATTTTCTCTACTGCTGCTCTTATTTAATAAAGCAAAAGTGAAGTCAAAGTTTGTAAACAAAATAGTTTCTTCCTAAAGGATTAGTTAAGTAAAATGCAAGAAACGTACTCGCACAAAGGAAAGCTCTTGAAACATGCCTTCACTCTCAATAAATCATGTGTGGGCATTAATTAAAAATTTTCCAAATGTATTGAGTTATTCTGCTCTTCGACTTATGACCAAATCAGCCATGAACTTTGTTGGCCTTTCGTCTAATTATCCATGCACTGCATTATTTAGTTCATTTGGAACTTAAAAGTAAACATCAAATAGAGCATTTGTCTAACTTATGATAGTACACATATATCTAGCTTTCTCGATATACTAGTTGTTTTATTCAAAAGTACATTGTGACCGAAAAGTTTTCGGGAAATTTTAAATAAAACGCAAAATTCTTAACCTTCATCAATATTTATTTTATCTCCTTCAAAATATGCTCCATTAGAAGCGATACACAAATGCCAACGTTTCTTCCAATCATCAAAACATTTTTTATAGGCGCTTTCCGGTATGGCTTTGAGTTCCCTCTGCGAATTCTGTTTTACGTCTTCTATGGATTCAAAACGCGTTCCTCTGAGTGGTAATTTGAGGTTGGGAAACAGGAAAAAGTCACACGGTGCAAGATCAGGTGAATACGGTGGCTGTTCGATGGTATTTATTGAATGTTTGGCCTTAAAATCGTTGATAATGTTGAACAAATTGAGGTGAATCGGAACAAGCCGGGCGTTGACACGTCGCATACACAAATTGTCCACCAAAATCAAACGAGCCATCTCACGACCGATGCCTAGCTCTCGTGCTATCTCTCTAACACTCACATGAGGATTTTTGAACACGATTTCCTTTGCCTTTTCAATGTTTTCGTCGGTGGTAGAGGTCGAAGGTCGTCCAGAACGCGGCATGTCTTCGACGGTCGTACGACAGTCCTGAAAGGCTTTGTACCACTCATAAACTTGAGTTTTCGATAAAACTGATTCCCCATAAGCCTTTTGTAGCATTCGCAACGATTCTGCACACGAAATTTCGTTCGAAAAACAAAATTTGATGCAAACTCTTTGTTCAATATTTTTTTCCATTGTTTTTTTCGCAACGCACTACTGAGGTGAACTGGTTTCAACAGCTGCCGTAAACGAACTGTCTGACAGATCGCGCTCATTTTTGGCATAGTAATTAAGGACAGTGCTGCCAAACTACATAAACTTAAAATATCGAAAAATATACAGCGCGCGAATTTTAAATGAGAATATCCGAAAACCTTTCGGTCTTAATGTAAATGAACTTAGAGAAGACATATGCATTTATCTAATAGAAAATAGTATCGTTGTAACTAAAGCAAAGGTATTATTTGCTTAACTTTAATACAACTACATATCATTGAATATGGTATCTTAAGTTTGTATAAAAAGTCAGAATTTTATTCATGTTAATTGTTCCAGAGAACAGTAAGTAGATTTTTTAAATCAAAAAATTTTTTAGTTTCGAAATCAATTCTTAGGAGGACTAAACAGTTATCCCTAAACATGCCGTGCACTTACTGTATTGAATAATAAAATAAACGCATAAATCACAGCTATACAGTTATATAAATTAACTGCATATTTTTAAATTGTAACTTTTTAAAGTATAAACAGAATTGTTTGTAAAGAAATAATTTTAAAAATCACTGATGTGATTTTTGATGGTTTCGATCCGCACCAGCTCTATAGTCGTCTTAAGAATTTGCTGACTTATAAGAATTTGCTGACTAGTTCTTAAGAACTAGTTGCATAAATATAATATTAAATTAATTAAAAGTTTTTTGATATGAAGATTTTTTCATACGGAAATAACTATTCTAGATATAATTTCTCTATTTTCATCTTCACTAAATATCACTCTTAACACATCAAAATTTTTGGCTATACAGTTTATGTAAATGGGTTATGACATAAAGGTCCCTTAGGTACGTTTACTGTAAAGTGATGGTTTTGAGTCAAATATAAAACCATAGCCTAGACTCAACTTTCTGTGAAAAATTTGCAGTTTTAAAGCACATTTACCTTAATGAAAATCGTACTAAGTATATTCCATAGAATTTTTCATACACTTACAATTGCATTGGTAGTAAATTGGTAGTAACTTACCGACTCCGAAGATACTTAAGTTAAAAGTATATTTTTAATACAATTTGTCAGTTGAGACTGGTTCCATAAACAATTTTAGTGCAGCGACATCTATGACATCTGAGATGCTTAAGTCAAAAGTATATTTTTAATACAATTTGTCAGATGAGACTGGTTCCATAAACAATTTTAGTGCAGTGACTTCTATGATTGAGTAATAATAGATAAATGGTGTGCACTTTATCTATTGTACTTACTGCCAAGATTTCAACAACAGTACTAATGTAATTTGCTGTGAGCTGGTATTTTATATTGTGCCACTGGGTATACATCGGTAAAAAAATAAATAAATAGAACAAAGAGCGGGTATGAAATTACGTTAAATATTGTTTAAAAGTGGTGCTAAAACGTATATAAGGCTATAAAATTCGGGGGAGTGGTAATGAATGAATGTTACCAAACTTCTCTTAAATAAATCTCTTTATCTTTAGATTTTTCTCTAATGTTGAAACTAATTAACATATAATACTAAAATATCATCACTTTAATGACGTTTGTTACGAATATTCAATTTAAGTCATTTATTACTCAAGTGAATTTGTTACCACAATCATTTCATTTAAGTATCAATTTATTTCTTATTATTTACTACTTATTCTTTTAATTAATAGACCTAACATCAATGGATTACTATCCTGATCCCAATCCAGCACTGCATCTCGTTGTCTACAGTGTTAATCAAAAAGGGCGCTCAGAGCCAATTGTGCTTGAGAACATACCAATTAATGAGGCGGAAAAGCGCACAGGTAAGCACAAAATAGACTTTCACCAAACACCCAAGAAAGCGAAAAGTACGCGGAAATTTATCGCTTCATTGCAATAAGTAAAATTTATGCTCAACTCAACATTAAATTGCGAACAAACACTTAACCCGAACACTACGGTGTACTCACATAAATAGTTCCTTAGGATAAGGACTGTGCTTAAATATAGTTTTATATGTTGTTTAAATGTGTTTAACTAAAGCAAACAGAAATAATGCTATGTTGAATAGAGCAATAAATGAGAGAGTTCTGTGAGTACTCTAACTTTAAATAATGGAAGGAAAAGGCTATAAGCGTGCGGAAAACTAATTAAACTATCTTCAATACGTATAACATATATTAAAAAATATTTTTTTTTCTAATTTCTTTTACTTTTCTTAATTATATCAGACTTATGATTACTATAATTTTAAAGTTTAATACTTTAACCTCAATTAGTATGCAACTAAAAACCGGTAAACCCAATTTTTCATTCAATTTTGCAAAAAAAATAAAAGAAAAAATTATGGAAAAGCTTAAAATCGCATAGTTTACTTAATCGCCATTTTATTGTTTACTTTCTAAATTAAACTTTTATATTTATACGTTTTCCTTCTACCTTATAATAATTTTAGCGCACCTTTCTCTTATCCTTTTCCGTTGTCAACGTCGGCCATGTCGGCAACATCGTCAGCGCCGCTTTTGTCGCCATAGTCGCAATCGTCTACTGTATTCCCGCATAATAATACTTCCTGAACTGACATTTTTGTTTTCTTTGTTGCCATTATACTTCCGTATTCTGTGAATTTTTGCGCTTTCTTCTTTTAATTTTGCAATTTTTTCGTAATTTCCTGCCAATTTAACATTTTGTATGAAGTTAGAGAAAAAAACAAAGAAATGTTTTAAGTTTTCAGTAGGAAACAAAACAAGAGCACAAAATGGCGTCTAAAAAGTTAAAAAATTTAAAAAGCAAAAAAAATATGCAGGATTAAAGGAACTTAAGAAAAAATTGGAAAAAAAAATATTTGTAAAGAAAAGCATATATATATTCTATTTTTTTGATTTCAATTATAATAAAATTATAAAAATTTTACAAACAAACATGTAAAGTGCAAGAATAGAGAAATAAGAATAGAGAAAAAATAAAGAAAATATATAAAAAAATAGACTTCACATTTTAGCGAAGTTAATAACTCGTTTATATTATTTTATTAATATTATTATTATACATACTAGACTATAATTTCTTTTATTTTATCTCATTATTTAGTTTTCCTTAATGAGATTACTTTTCTGTTTATATATATTTTATTTTTTTTATTTAAATTATAATAAAATTATAAAAATTTTACAAACAAATATTTAAATAAGTTACTTTCATAAAGCGCTCAAATCCTACACTTCGTAAAGAGAAATGAATTAAAGAGTAGAGAAAAAAAAAAGAAGAAAAAAATAGAAAAATAGATAAAAATAGACTTCACATTTTAGCGAAATCAATAACTTTTAATATTATTTTATTAATATTATTATTATATATACTAGACTATAATTTCTTATTTCTTATCTAATGATTTAGGTTTTTTTCAATAAGATTACTTTTCTGTTTATTGTCCTTACTTAAATGGCTTAAAATCTTGTTATTCTAAGAATATATATATCTAACTAAGATTACATAGTTATAACTTGTCTGAAAGTGGATAATATATTTAACAGGAATATGTATATGTTTATGTAATACATACTATGAGACAGATCAGATGCTTTAAGGTCCTTGAGCTCAGTCGAATCTACATCCTGAAGAATTTTTGACTGCTACACATCTCTAAAGGAGAAGGTAGACAAACGGGGTGCTTCAGCTAAACACTTGTTACACCTAAAAAAAAGTCGGGCATATCGTTGACATCATAAAAATTTTTGCTGAATTCTTTCAGTGCCATCATTAATTCTTTCAGTGCCAAAATATGGAAAGGCTTTTTAATAAAATATGGAAAGACTTAATTATAGTGTATGTAAGCAAATTCACCAATTTCTGCTAAGAAGAAATACTGTTACTGTTGCTCCAATCATTCTAATCATTGATATGCCCCGGAGAGACAAAGCTTGTGGTAGGTTTGCTCACGGGATAAAAGCATTTGCCAAAGCTCTGCTTTCAAGGTTTTCCAAAGGTGCTTTTTAAGCTTCGGAAAACTCTTTATATAGTAACACAATGGGTCTAAGTGGATCGTTTGGGTTGTCAGTATAACACAACTCAACCTAACCTAGAATAAGTATTTAAAAGTCTTAGTTTTCTTTGAAGAGGACACTCCTTTATCATTAGTAAATTACATTTACTGTTATAAAGAAGTAAGGTATTTTAATTTTATTAATTTAATAATTTCATTATAGCAAATCATAATTTTATAAATCTCAAAAACACATACATATATGCTAATTTTTCAATTCGAAAAGAAAAAAATATTTGTTTATACATATATTCTTGGAGTATATATTGTGGCCTTATGCCCCACTACGAGAAACGGACACTGAGGAGAAGTATATAACTAATATAGAAAAGAAAATTTTTTGTAAATTTCTTAATTTAAACGCTTTTAATGGTATAGTTAAACCAAAAATTTAGAAATATTTTTTTTAATATTTTATTGTAGCAAGTCATAATTTTTAATATTTTAAAAAGATATGTATCTTAATTTTTTTAGTCTTTTTAACTGAAAAACTTCTTTGCATGTCCTTGCAGTATATAACCAATTTAAAGATCGCTTTTCTTTGTTTGTCCATAATTTAAAGACCTTCACTGTTAGCCTTAAGAAATCTGCGTGAAAATTGCGATTTAACAGCAGGAAACATTTAATTGCTAAAGGGATATAAATGATTTTTATTTTTTCTTTTATTTTTGAGCGATTTTTTATGCCATAAACTGCATAAATTTAAATCGGTTGGTGTGTATATTTTATTGACTTTTTGAATCAACGCAGTTTACCACTTTCAGTTGTAAACAAGAGCAAAACAAGCGCTTTATTTGCAATCTTCCGTAGCTTTTTGAAATGTAAATATAGCAGCAGAATGGCTGCTTAATGTTGAAAAATTACGAAATGTATGCTTCCTCTTAGAAATTCATGCTTCGAGCTCTGCAAAATAATACACTCATTGGCCAACAAAAGCCCTGCTCACCACCTTCTTTCAACTTTATTTGCATTTTAAAATGTAAATAAACAACAACAAAAATCACTGAACAATGGTTGTTATGCCGGAGCCGAGGAATAGTAACCTCAGCAACCTGTACTAGAATTTTGCATATTAACTCAAAGATACACATTCAGACATAAATAAGCCAAGATTTTAGCATTTTTCTTGCTTTTTTTCGAAATTTATTCCACTTTTATTTTTCATTTTTTTATTTTTTATTTTTTTTGCAATGATTATTGGAAAATGGCAGAAGAAGTTTGTTTGAGAAGTTTTCACGCTCTATTGCTACAAACTTCTTTTATTTTGCATATTATTGTTCACTTTGAAAAGATTTTTTTTTTTTTTATACAAAATAACCTGCCGACGCGTGTCCTTTTTAAGGTCCATTTTACCTTTAAAAAGTCGTTTGCATATTCCTAAGTATTTTATTTTCCTTTCGTATGACAAGAAACAAAAGCATGAGATTTAAACCAAAGTACTTAGAAGAAAAATAAAAATAGTAAAGAAAAACAAAAAACTCGGTTGGGAAAGTTCTGTTTTCCTTTTGTTTTCGATGGAACTTTGTTTTTGTACCTTAAATTAAAAAGGTTATGTATAAATTATACACAACAATAAAACAAAACAAAACAAAAACAATTTTGCTTTTAATAGGAAACCTACTTATAATTTATTCTTTATAAAAAATTAACTTATTTATGTTTTATTTTGATGTTTAATTATTTAAAAATCTCTGCTTTATAAGTTACACAAAAGCTGTAAAGAAGTCCTGATTTGTATTAATTCAAGAGAGTATACTTTTCGGCGCTTTAGTTTCTTTTGAAAGTCAAATTTAAATATCGCTTTCAATAGGTTTATTAATGCAATTTCGGATAACTTATTATCCACCTTTTTACATTATATATATCGTAAATGCTATCGTATAGCTTAGAATACCGTCTCTAGTCGAAGATACGAAGAAAGAAGATTCCTTTTACAACATTTTTCATAGTAATTCCATTGAATCGAGTTAAAATTGCATACAAAGATACAATGAAGACTGCAGTTAGTTTATAATTAAAATTAAAGTGTAGGGTTCTTCCTAAGCTAATCATCAAAGACAAAAGTAAAGGTCTGTATGGAAACAAAATGCGCCTATAGGCCTAAGTGGAACCTTTGAATCGCCGGTGCAATCTAATTTAAAGGACAGTATGCTTAACATTTACAAATTCAAGTACATCTAAGCAAGATTGTAAAAGGTAGCTAGGATCACATTTTAAGAAATTGTGCTAATACAATAAAACTTAGACTTAGAATCATAGATGAGATTAAATAATAAAGAATGGTTTTAGTAAAATATAGTTACGCAGGGCGTTATGTTGTCAAATGAGGAATAGCGTTGGCGGAGAATAATTTAATTGATGAATTAATGCTTTTGTGGAATTTACAAATTTTAAAAGAAAATCATAATAATCACAAATAATGCCTCATCGAACAGAATAGTATTGAAATTTAATTTAATAATTAAAAATAAAAAAATATAATTAATTAGTTAATCGAATTATTCTACAGCTGGTTTATGATTTCATTGTAATATAAACACAGCATGTGAAATTGTTAATAAAAACTTTCATAGAAAAGTAACAAAACTCCAGAAATATATGCGAATATAAAAAGTCAAGTACAGCTCTGGATCAATTGGTTACGGTACGCTGATTCTGAGCTTCACATTTGGAAAGACCCGAGTTCGATTCCTGGTACTTGCAGTCTCAAAAATAATTATTTACGAATAATTAAATACAAGAATTATTTCAAAGACCACTGATGATGGGTATTTGGCAATA